TGTTATAAAATGGGACTGATATCAGGGTTGGTTTAAGAGTGAGAACAACTGGATAAGTTGTGTATACTGCACTAAAACAGATGAGGGAGTGAATAATTTAAAAGCGATGTATGATAGGGTATTATGGTTATCACAAGAGTCCACAATTAAGGTTGCACAGTGGAATGTACTTGGGGCAGTGGGAGGGGTGTGGGGGGATTGTGTTCCAGGGAGGGAGTGTTTCTTTTACTTCTGAAAGAGAGGAGCAAACTGGGGTGGGGGAGGGATGGGTGGGGAGAGAAGTGCAGCATTTCCATGATGAATGGAAATCCAAAATGTCTGTAAATGCTCATTAAAATTATTTTAAAAAAAGCTTAAGAAGAAAACAAACAAAAAAGAAATAAAAAGATATATTACATTGGATAAAGCTAGCACATCCTCTTAGCCTGGGAGTATACTAAAAAGCAAGGATGTAATTTAGAAGACTAAGGTGCACCTGATCCAAGCCATGGTATTTTCAATTACTTCCTATCCGCGGGCAGTGAAGCTCTTAGTTGGGCAATGACTAAGGAGAAGAGAAGAACTGGTGCCTCTGAAGTGTGGTGTTGGTGAAGAGTAGTGAATGTAACATCGACTGACAAAGGAATACACAAATCTGTCTTGAAGGAAATCAACCAGAGTGTTTTTTAGAGGCAAGGGTGTGGAGCTTCATCGCCCTTTAGCTTTATTTTCAGGAGTAACTAATCCTTGGAGAGAGACATCGCTCCAGGAAAGGTAGTGAGTCAGTCAAAGAGAGGGAGACCTTCCGTGACATGGATTGACACAGTGACGACCACAATGGGCTTGAGCCTAACAGAGATCATGAACGTGGTCCATGAGCCTAACAGAGATCATGAACACGGTCCATGATAAGGTAAGGCTCAGCTCTACTGCTCACAGGGTTGCTGTACAGTAAAGACCCCGGCCAAGAAGACTCTATGGGGCAGGTCTTCTCCTGGGATAACCACAGTGGGAGCCGAGTCAATGGCACTGTTCACAGGGTTCCTGTATGATAAAGACCCCAGCCAAGACGACTATGGGCCATTTCTAGTCCTGTGGTCACCAGAGTGGAAGCCAACTGAATGGTTCACTAGCTCGGTTTGGTTTTGTTGAGTATAAAGAGCTAATCTGACCATCACTGTTCACTTTATTCTTTCATTATTCAAACTCCAAGATGACCACTAGTTGTTGTTGTTTTGTACTGTAAAGTCAGAACCGACCCATAGCTGACGCTCCAGCGGGTTTTCAGAGGCATGGGACGAGAGTGTTCACGCTGTATGCCAGTTTCCACCCCCAGAGAGCCACAAGGCGAACTCTGATGCGTAATGACATGAACCCAGGGTCATCAAACTGAACCCAGTTGTCCTGTCTTCTCTGATATGTTAGCCCTGCTTGTCATAGTATCCACTGTTACTCGAGTCATCTTGTGCAATTTCCTGATGTATCAGAGGAAAGAATTCTGCACAATTTTACATGTTTCTGGGTTTCTTGGGCAAAGAGACCCTTTGTAATGAAATGCTATCGTAGTATTTTTTTAAAAATAGTTTTTATGTGATGAAATAATATTTTATTTCCCTTCTCATTTTTTTTTTATCCTCCCACCCCTGTGTTCCAATCTCATGTCTATTGTTTTCCTATGTTTATCCTTGTATATTACATATATTTGTATTGCTGTTGTTGATTGACATTGAGTCAAGGTCGACTCATAGCAACTCTATGAACAAAAGACCTAATGCCTTTCCATAGCTATAGTTGTTTCTCCAAGTTCATAGGGTTTCCAGTAGCATGTGGTTTAGGAAGTGGAGGCCACTCCTGCTTCTGAACCTGTTTTACAACTGGGAACACGGTCCACAATGGGAAACCATTCTGGTATCTGATACCCCAATGGCATAAGGTTCAGCATCGCTGCAAACCCAGGTTACCTCATACAGCGCAGTGACAAAGAGTAATGTGCAAAGTGGAAGAATGTTCCTCCAGATAGAACAGCGCTAGTCTCTTCTAACAGTGGTTAAGTGTCGTCAAGTCCAATATGAGTCAGAGTAAGCGTTACACAAAATATCTGAACTCTGTTCTAGGGTTAGTATAATTTCTGTACATTTTTAAGAGAGTTTGTTGAGTTTCCAGTGGCATCTAGTTTAGGAAGTGGGTGCCACTCCTGCTTCCCAACCTGAATCAATCTGGAAGCTCATCCAACCATTGTACATAATGGGTAATCATTATGGTATTTGACACGACTATGGAACAGTGTTCAGCATCACAGCAACTCCACGTTGTTCAGTACAGGAAAAAGACAAATATGATTGCTAGGTCTTTAAAAGAATATATTCTAAAAAGAATAAATCTGGCCCGAGGGCTGCAGCCCTAGGGCCCTACAGGATTTTAAAGTCACACCCTCAAGCAGGCTTCCACCTTTACCCTTAGTCTAAGGCCACCCACTTTTGAGGGAGTAAAGAACAGTTCATTTTGTACTGCAGCCCTTGGGCCAGATTTATTCTTTTTAGAATATCCACAGTCAACAGTCTTGGCACCAGCAGCCGGGAAATTAAAAGGCGCATTGCCATGGGAAAGTCTGCTGTTAGGGAACTCTCCAAAGTGCTGAAGAGCAATGGTGTCTCTCTGGAGACCAAGGTGCGCCTGATACAGGCCATGGTCTTTGCAATCACTTGTTATGCATCAGAGAGTTGGACAATGACTAGGGAGGATAGGAGAATTGATGCCTTTAAGATGTGGTTCTGGGAAAAAGTATTGAATTTTCCATGACCTGCCAGGAAAACAAACAGATTTGTCCTGGAAAGCGTTAAACCAGGTGGCTCCTTGGAGGCAAGGATTCTGAGGCTCCGTCTAACATACTTTGGACATGTTGTGAGGAGAGACCAGTCCTTGGAGAGGGACATCATGCTTGGGAGGGTGGAGGGACAGCACAGGAGAGGAAGGCCCTCTGTGAGGTGGATTGATTCAGTGACTGGGATAATCAGGATGGGAGTGTCGGAGACAGTGCGATTGACACAGGACAGAGCGGAGTTTAGGGCTGTTGTACATAGGGTCGCTGTGAGTCGCAGGCGACTCGACGGCACATAACAACAACAACAACAACAAAGAACAGTTAACACACAACAAAAAGGACCCCAGAAACTGCCCTTGCCTGATTGCCATCAAGATGAGATGCCAGTCAGCCAGCCCATATTTATATTTTAATATAAAATATAATAATAAAGCATATAAATAATTAGATAGAGATAGAGAGATAGAAATAGAAATAGATAAGGTTATCACAAGAGTGCACAATTAAGGTTGCATAGTGGAATGTACTTGGGGCGGTGGGAGCGGTGTGGGGGGATTGTGTACCAGGGAGGGAGTCTTTCTTTTACTTTTGAAAGAGAGGAGCGAACTGGGGGGCGGGGGAGAGAGCTGGGCGGGTAGAGAAGTGCAGCAATGAATGAATGGAAATCCAAATTCTCTGTAAATAGTCATTAAAGTTATTTTAAAAAATTTTTTTAGAAAAATAGAAATAGAAATTGTCAGGTCTCTTATCCCCACAGGGAGATCTGGTGACCTAGTGGTAAGAAACTGCACTGTGACCCTGACGTGGTTCGAATCCACCATGCGCTCTGTGGGAGAAGGATGGGCAATTTCTTCCTTCGTAGTTAACTGCGTCTGAAAAGCTGCTGGAGGGTCTGCTATGGGTCGGTTCCAACTCAACAGCACTCAAGCGCCCCCGCCACCACCACCACCACTCCCCCTGCTCAACTCTTCTCAATGAAATTACCGTTGTCTTTCCCCATATAGTGAGAGGTCCTGGAATGCACGCAAACATCTAGTTATCTGGGAGCCCCTCCCTCAGCCAGAAATGCTGAAGCCCCTTCCTCCTATGCAACTAAATGGCCATTCCGTGGGCCGCTGTTGTTGCTTTGCGTTGGCTGCAACTCCTGGCGACGCATGTCCGACGGAACACACGGCATCTCCCTGGCCATCCTCGCAATGACTGGCACGGCCGAGCCAGCGCGTGGCTATGGTGTCCAGCCCGTCTCACGGCACCTCTCCCTGCTTTTTGTTGACCTTCATTTGACCCGTCCCCCATGCTCTAGTGCTATTTCCCAATGATGCTTGTTGTGACTCCAAACCACTGAGTCCATTCTGACTTCTAGTGGCCCCATGTGACAGTGGACAATTGCATCTTAGGACTTCCAAGACTCTAATCTTTGTGGGACAGATTGCCAGCTCTTTCTCACGCAGAGCATCTGGGTGGGTTGGCACCAGCTCTTTTGTTAGCGGCCAAGCTAATCTGTCATACAACCAGGGGTTCTTTAACAACACATTAAATTCACAACAAAGTCAAGGTACACGTTTGTTCACCCCGAATATCGCTATCTACAAGAACAATCCATGTTTTAAAAAAATATTCCTATCTTAAGTCATAGGCACTATGGCTTTCATCAAACCCACGTGTCTTCTCAGTAGCGTGAACGCTTGAAAAGGAAGAGGAGGGTGTGACTTCAGAGGAAATTTACCACAGGGACTGTACGCAACAGTCTGAGTGCCGGAGGGCTTCACACAGGAGCTCCAAATCATCCGCTTTCAGGGTATTCATGCTGAGATCCAGATAGAGCAACTGTTGGCTCTTCCTGACAACGTCACAGACACTCTCCCAAAAGGGCTCCCTGATGTAGCAGCCAGCCAGACTGTGAGGACATGTGGAGACAGAAAGGAGGGGAAAACGTCTCAGCAAGCTTCGAAAAAATCCCCATTTGAGGAAATGTTTGCAGTCAATCCATTTTCCAGTCCACTCGCATAGAGCTTCTTAAAGATAATCTCTCATGAAGAGAAATATTTTCCTATAGATACATCTTCACGTAGAAGCTCTGTAAAATTAATTTGGTCTCACAGAGCCTATCAACAGGGCAGGGTGGTGGTGGTTGTTATGTGCCATTGGATAGACAATAGTTGTGAACTCAGCCCTATCCGGAGTCAATCTCATTGTCTCTGACACACCTATCTCCATGACCCCAGTCACTGAGTCAATCCATCTCAGCCAGGGTCTCCCTCTCCTGCACTGTCCTCCCCTCTTCCAAGCATGGCGTCCCTCTCCAAGGACTGGTCCTACCTGGCAACATGCCCACAGTATGTGAGATGAAACGTCAGAATCTTTGCCTCCAAGGAGCAACTTGGGTTCACCCTCTCCAGGATAGACCTGTCTGATCTCTTGGCCGTCTATGTTCAATGATCCTCTCCAGCAACCACAGCGCAAAGTCATCATCCTTCTTCTGTCACTCTTAGTCATCGTCTAGCTCCCTTCTTCTGTCATCCTTAGTCTTGTTCAACTTTCAAATGCAAGTTACCAAGTAACTGAAAAGACTATGATTTGAATTAGGTGCACCTTAGGCTTGAAACTGACATCATTGCTCCTTCACAGCAGATATGCCTAATGCAACGGGTCTTTTGATGTCTTGACTGCTGGTGCCAAGGGTGTGGACTATGGATCCGAGGAAGATGGCAACTTCAGCCTTCCCTCCATCGATCATGATGCTGCCTACTGGTCCGGCAGTGAGGATTTATCAGGGTCGAATGTCAGCTTTTGGCAAATACTTTTCTGTACCCATTAGGTGATCACGTGATTTGACTATTAATGTTGTTATAACCTTCATCTACTCATTCTGTGTTATCCTTTTTTCTGTGCTGTTAGATTAGACTTAAGGAACTCAGGTGGCATAACGGCTAAGCTCTCATTAACCCAAACGTTGGCAGTTCAAACTCACCTAGCAACTCCACTTTCCATTGAGAAAAAGACCCAATGATCTGTTCCCATAAACATGACCGCCCACCTCGGCCCATGAGGAGAGTTATAAATGCAACACGGGACTATTACAAGAAAATTGTTTGGATGTCACTGAACCGTGAGATTATATTTGCCAACATTTGTTTAGAATTTTTGCGTGTTTGTTCATTAAGGAAATTAGTCTAGACCACAGCAGAGTCAGGAAGCAGACATTAGCTGCGTGTGAGCACTGTGGATCTGCCTGCTCTGTTCCTGGTCTCCATCAATCCAAATCTCCAACAATTCAACCTCTATACTTAAAGGAGAGACAGTATACGACACATGCCTCCCTCCTCACTGCCACCGAGGTGGAGTCCACACGTAGACGTCCCTCCAGGGGCTTCCAAGGCTATGAATCTCCCGGGAGGAGACTGTCCACCTTTCCCACTCAAAACTACTGGTAGATTTGAACTTCTAGGGAGGTGCGCTCACAAGTCCCTCCCAAGGACACCACACCCACTTTATCGGGTGAATGACGACGATGACCAGTTTCTGCTGGCTGAGTTGATTTTAACTCATGGCGACCCGGAGCGTGTCAGCATAGAATTGTCCTCTGACTTGGTGTGTGCTGGCCAATCAGATCTGATTGGTGCGGGAGGAGATTGTCGCTCCTTCTCCAACGGAGCGTCTGGTGGATTTGAACTGTGTGCCTTCCCTGGCCTTTGATTAGATGACTCCCATTCCTTGAGACCTCTGCTCAAGTAGCATCTTCTCAGACAACGTTCCAGAAAGGAAGCCTTGAACCGCAAGGCAGACCAACAGGTTCAACATTTGGGCTGAACTGACGTTGGTTTTGGGCTGCCAGAAACTGAGTTTCTGTGACTTCAGCTGCTCTCCTTGTCCCCGGAAGACACAAAGTGCTGCAACTAGACTTTTCCAACCACCGAGTGAAGATGTAAACAATGACAATGGTTGTCAAGAAACGAGAGTCTAATTGGCAATTCATTCACTCCACAACTCCCAACGTTTCTTTCTTGCCTGAATCTGAGACTACACTTAAGTTTAAAACTGCTTCTGGATTTAACTCAACCCCATACGTACTACTGTTGCCGTGGACCTGACCCACAACTGACCCTCCAGTGGGTTTTGAGAGCCTGAGGGGTCTCAGGGAGGGAGCTGGCCTGCCTTTTTCACCTGGAGCTGCTGGTGTATTCGAACATTCAGCCTTTGGATTTGGAAGCACAACTCCTGTTCAGTAGCCGAGTGAGACTGTAATCTTGTTAAAGTCTACGAGAGACTTTGACTTAACTTGACAACATTAAAAATGGATCACACGTTTAAATATAAAGCCCAAAGTTGGAAAAATCCGAGGAAAATATATAAATCTCCATGATGCTGAGTTAATGTTTTCTGAACACAGTGAAAGCTGTGGAAGTTGGAAGCCATGTATGGTGGAAATTTACCAGAGAAGGCAAATTGACCTGGGAGTTGGATGTAGGTTTCTAAATGAGTGAACCCTAGCAGGGTGAAGAGCTGGTGAGACAAGGTGGTCACACGAAGCTGGGGGCCTCATGGGCTTCACTCTGTAAGGCCGAAAGCACAGGAGACCAAAAAAGATAGAGAAAACCCACTTCATGAGACAGAACAACAGAAACCCTACACTTCCATGAGTCAAACAACTTTAAACAACAAGGTGAAGCAATAAACGCCAGAATGGGAGAAAACTATCTGGGAGCCGTATACCTGATGAGAAACCCCTATCCAGAACATATCATTCAATCCAACAACCAAAAGACAAACGACTCAGCTGAGAACCAGTCAACTCGCGGCCACGGCACCACCTCGTGGCTGACCCTCCCGAGGCTTTGCGAGGCTGTAAGTCACTTGGGAGGAGAGTGTCCACCTTTCCCTTGGAGTTGCTCCTGGATTCGAACCAGCAGGACCTGAATAGTTATTTTTCCAAACAAATCACGCCAGTGGCCAACGGACTTATGAAAAAAAAAATGCACGGCATTGTAAGTCATTTGGGAAATATAGCTCAAAATTAGGTGACACAATTTCATACCTACTACTTACTATTCAGAGCTCTGGTGGCCTAGTGGCAAGAAACTGTGCTGCAATCCCAAAGGCACATGGTTCGAATCCAGCCGCTGCTCTGTGGGAGGATAGGCAATCTCCTCTTGTGTGATTTACTGTCTTTGAAAATCCTCTGGAAGGTCAGCTATGGGTCAGTTCTGACGTGGTGGCACACAACAACAACAACCACTACCACCTCATGAAGTTCTGGTAGCCCAGTGGTAAGAAGCTGTGTGGCAATCCCAAAGGCACGGGTTTGAATCCGCAGGAGAACAGTGGACAATCTCATCCCATTTGATTTACTGTCTCTGAAAACCCACTGGGTTTTGGGTTTCAATGGCACACAAGCACCACAGAACGTCATGAAAAGGCAACGGGAAGATCCAGAAAATAACAGGTGTCGGTGTAGATGGAGGGAGACTGGAACTCTCCTAGCTTGCTGGTGGGGTTCTAACGCAGTGTGCCTGTGGTGGACCAGGGCTCGCCAAGTCCCCGACAAGCTACACAGAAAACTGCCTTGCGAAGAAACAGTTCCGCTTCTTGGTGTGTACTCAAAAGAACTAACCAGGAGTGCTCAACCATGACACTTCGTAGGAACAGAACTCACACGAGCCAAAAAGTGGAATTATCCCAAATGTCTATGAACTGACAAACGGGGAAATACAGTGGGTTCATATGATGGAATACTGGTCAGCCACAAAAATGAAGGACGTAATTCCTATTCATGCTTCCTGTCACCTCTGCGTGGCCACCAGCTGGGTTCTTACTCACAATGACCCTCAGGGCAGAGCAGAACCGCTCCGAGCAGGTGCCCCAGGAGATGCCCAGGCAGAGTCGCCTCGAGGAGGTGCCTAGGCTATCATTTTTCAACTGGCACCTGAGTGAAAGTTCACAAAGCAGGTTGGGTTTTCCACCCTGCCGTCCACACCCATTTTGCGTGGTAACATTAGTGACAGTACCTACAAGTAACCACACCAGACGTCCTACTTCTTTCCTGTGATTTGCGTTTCCACTCATCTCGCTAACCTACCCCTTCCTGTCTTCTGGGCCTCACCTGTCTGTGGGCAGGCGCTGCGCCTCTGACCTGTCTAATTGCTTATTCTAAGGACCGAGTGCCTCTCTGGTTGACATGAGAGCCTGCAAGTTTAGCCAGGAGAAGCGGCTCTGCTCCGGGCTCATGCGTGACCGAGGCACACACAGCGTCGAGGGTTCTGCTTGTCTGCTGGACCAGGGAGTCTGAGCTTTTGAGTAGATGCCTTTGAGCTTTGCTCCACGTTTTCCTCTCCGCTCTCTCCAGGGCCTTCTGCGGAGGGTCACCGAGGAGTGGTCAGCGGCAACCCCCCACATTAGTGAGTTCCGGTCTCTGCATCACGGGAGTTGAGGTTCTTGTGGTGCCTAAGTCTTCCTGGCCTATTTGTTCCTCCACATTTTTTAATTTCTTGCCTCCTCTTTCTTCTTGGGATGGAGAAACCAGGGGTTTTACCTCCGTTTGGATACTGGCAAACTTTTAAGGCCCTTGTCTCACCAAGCAGGGAGTAGGTCCTTGCCTCTGTGGACTATGCTATGCCAATTGGCCTTGATGTCCTGGGAGACAGTAGTCCCAAACCCCCAGGAGGCAAGGCTGTACTGAGAACAGCCCACAACATCGTTCCCCCATAGGACCGCTAGTGACTTTGAACTGCCAACGTTTTGGTTAACAATTGTACACATAACAATGGCTCTACAAGGATTCCTTACCTCCAAAATGTTATGCTCTACCGTTTCCGGAATTATGAATAAAGCTGCTATGGCTGTTTTAATACCTGCTGTTCAGTAGACTTGGAGTTTCTCGGCGATACAAGTAAGTGATGCTTGGGGCCATCTGAGCAATTGAGCCAACCTAGAGGTTCTCTGGGATGAAGGTTGGGAGATGCACTTCTAGAAAAGTCAACCACTGAAAATTCTACCCCCCCCCTAGTTCTCCCACGACTCAGCCACCCTCCCAGCAACTGCTTTGCAACTTGCTTTCCATTAAACACAAACAAGTATTTAAGTTCCGGGTCTGCAAAGGTTAGTTTTGAGTTTGGGGGAGAAGAGGAGAGAGGGAGAGGAAAAAAAGAGGAGAGAGAAAAAAGAGAGGAGATAGAGGAGAGAGAGAGAGAGAGAGGAAGAGAGAGAAAGAGGAAAAGAAAGAGAGAGGAAGAGAGCAAGGAAGAGAGAGAGGAAGAGAGAAGAGAAAAGCAGATTTATTTAAAAATGTTGAGGGAAATATCTCAGTCACTAAAGGACAAATACTGTGTAAAACCATAGCTATAAAAATAGCATGGATATGAAGTGAGCAGAGCAGGGAAAGAATGGACACATGGCGAACTCTGCCCTGGGATGGGTGAAGGGAAGCACCGTCTGAAAGGAACGAAACATCAGATCTATGCAGGTGACACTTTGGAACAGGAGATGCATTGGAAAGGGAACTGAGGGGCAGAGGAGGGACAGAAAGAGGGAACATCAAGGAATGAATGCAAACCTAATCTCTTTGTAAATGTTCACTAAAATCACAGTTTAAAAAAACCCCACACAGGGCAAAAAAACCCCAAACCCCAAAAACAAAAACAAAACAAAATCTCACGCATCTCCTCTGGACTCCTTCCCCCTCTGAAGCTGTGAACAGCGAGACTTACGCCAGATACTCCACGCCACACAGGGGGTTGTTCAAGGCCTCACACAGCAGCCTCACATCTGTACTGGAGAGCTGTGTATGGCTGAGGTCCAGGCATTTCAGACGTGAGTTACGAGAGAGCATCTCAAAGAAAAAACCATTCTTCTCAGGGAAGGGAACGTTGTTCATCCTGTAAACAAAGATAGAAGTTTTGTTTTAAATGAGTTTCATCTAATCAAAGACGCGCTGAGGAGCCAGATGGTCTCCTACACCCTGTGATCAACTGACGTTTCCATTTCACACCCCCAAATGCACAGCTCAGGGTCCCGTAGCCTGGGAGATTCCGCATACCCAGGGATCTCGGTTCAAATACTGGCAAACAGTATTGTTAGTCATCCTGTCTACATGGAGTAGAACCCAGTCCCCTAGCCTCCAGCTTCTGATTTATTTGGAAACACAGAATCCAGTCTTCCTTCTGAAGCATCTCTGGGTGGACTTGAACTGGGCAAGTTTGGCCCTTTTGCTCCTCTGACTCCAGCTCTTTGCACATTTCATTTTAATCCTTTGCTTTGTCTCCCCAAGATGCCCATTGAAATCTTCTGTTCAGCTCCTTAACTTCTTGAATTCTTTCCTTTACTTTGGCTTCTCAGCAGTCTAGTACAATATTCAGAGTCTCTTCTGACATCCATCTCGGCAAATAACGTTGTTGGTATGTGCTGTCAAGTCACCTGTGACCCACAGCGACCGTACGTACAGCAGCTCTGAAGCCTGCCCTGTGCTGAGCCAGTCTCACTGACTCTGACACACCTCCCCACATTGTCCTAGTTACTGTATCAATCCATCTCATCTGGGGTCTTCCACTCCTGCGCCGTCCCTCCACTCTTCCAAAGATGATGTCCTTCTCCAAGAACTGGTCCCTCCCGGCCACACGCCCAAAGAATGTGAGATGGAGCTTCAAACTCCTGTCCTCCAAGGACCAACGTGACTTGGAAATTGCTCTGGGAAAATCTGCTGTCTTGGCAAATAGTCGGTACTAATTAATGTCAAAGAGGGCGTGAATATTGGAGATAACATAAACGATATTACCCTTTCTTCCTCTCATCACGGCAGTAATACCGGTGTAATCTTAGCTACTTCTAAAGGTGCCCACAGAGAGTGGCATCTTTCTCACATATGCTTCAGGAATTTCAATTCAGTTTGCACATTCATACTGCCAATCACTCCAGACCAGTGGTTCCAAGCCAGGACAGATTGGTCCTCTAGGGGACATTTGGCAGCATCTGGAGACCTTTCTAGGTGTCACAGAGGAGAGGCTTGCATCTGGCAGCTCGAGACCAGGGATTCCAAGGAAGTGTCCTACAAAGCACAGGATGGCCTCAGTGACAAAGAAAAATCATAAGGCTGAGAAAATGGGCTCCAGTTTGGAGCTCTTTGATTGACAGCAGTTGGCCTCATCTGAAAGTTAAGGTATCGTTAAGGGCTGTTGAGTTGACAGACACTGATGGTGCCGCTATAAACCACAGCTCTGAGCCTGGCTCCATCCGGTGCCGTCTTCACCCTCTCCAATCCACGTGGGACCCTTGTTGCAGTCTCTGTGGGAATCCATCCTGATTAGGGTCCTTCTTCCCTACATTGACCCTCCAGCTTTCCAGGCATGATGTCGTTCTCCAAGGGCTGGCCCCTCGTAGCAACATGCCCAAAGTATGTAGATGAAACCGCACCATCTTGGCTTCCAAAGAACACCCTGGCCATACTTTCTCTAGCACATACTTGTTTGTTCTTTGGGGAGTCCATGAGATAGTCAGTACTCTTCTCCAACACTGCAATTTCAAAAGACCAGTTCTCTCATTATCTGTGGTCACTGTCCAACTTTGAGGTGTATAACAAGCAAACTGAACACATCACGGCTTGAATCAGGCGCACCTCAGTCTTTAAACGGATGTCCTTGCTCTCCAACATTTTTTGGAGAGGTCCCTGTCAGCAGATTTCCCCAGTGCAGTACACGTTTTGATTTCCTGACTGCTGCTGCCAAGGGTGTTGATTGTGGATCTAAGTAAAGTGAAGTTATCGACAGCTCCAGTCTTTCCTCCAGCTATGGTGATGTGGCCCACTGCTGGCTCAGGTATTGAGAGTAATACTGAGATGTGACCCGTATTGAAGGTTGAGGTCTTACTCTTTTGCAGCAAGCACTCCGAGTCCTTCTCAGTGTCTCATAATCTGCATGGTAATTGTTGATGAGTCTTCCTCCAATGTCGCATTCTTCCTCATAAAATCTTTTGAGCCACTTTTAAAATTAAGTGTTCTGGGATACTCATTCTTCTCAATGTTAACTCTAATTTGTTGTGATTCGTGCAGTAAAATTGCTTTGCATAGTGAATAAAACACAATTATACAGCTTTCTGCGGTTCTCCACTTTCCGTCAAGATTCTCCTGATATCAGCAATGATATCCCTGGTGCCACGGCCTCTTCCTCTTCTAAGTTCAACATGGCTATCTGGTAGTTCTCTATTCATGTACTATTCTAGCTGGTTTTGAATGATTACAGCAAGAATTTGCTTGCATGTGACATTAAATAATATTGTTTGATATTTTTCATATTCAATTGGATTACCTTTTTTGGGGAACTGGGAAAGCCAAGACTATGTTATTTTCTCAAATTCTAAAGCCTAAATTGGTGTCCAACTTACCTAAGGATTTGAAGACAACAGCTGGGATCTCTTAGTTCCTTACACAAAGTGACAAAAGCAGTCTCATTGAGGAAACTGTTGTATATCTGAAGTTCATAGAGGTGGACATTTGTGGTGATGACAGAGCAAATATAATACCAGCGTTTGAGATTGTAACTAAATCTGCAATGAAATTAAGAGGAAATGTTTTCATGGGTGACATCGAACTCAGGACATTCCCAGTGTCAAAAACCAAGCTCACTCCATGGTGCTTTTCGAACTCACGGCAGCCCCACATACTCTGGGCCAGAGGTATGCTCCAGAGGGCTCTGGTGGCTGGCGGAGTAAGTTCTGGAAGCAGAACCCGAGGACTTTCCTCGTGGGCATTGCTGTGTGACTTAGAAGCACCAGTCTTGTATGGTTGCATGAAAAACAGCCATGCCACCTGGGCAACCTATTCCCACCATGTGGGCACGAGAAATTATCTTCCTGAAAACAAAGCTTGCGAGTAGTAAGTGAATTAAAATCTGCAAGAATAGGAGAGTAAACTGGAAAAGGTCATTTCCGGTGTTCAGCGAGGAAAGAATCGGAGGGTGCTAGCTGTCTGAGCCCCAAGTGTTAACTGCAGATACTTTGGCGCTCATTTTCAGGATGGGAGCCCTGGTGGCACAACAGGTAAGTGCTCTGCAAACAACCACAAACTGAGAGGTCTGAACCCACTGTGACTGTGAAGGAGATGGTTGACGTGGCCCCCTGTGAAGACTACAGCCTCGGACACATGACCAGGCTGCTGGGCTCTGTCTCGGGGAGCTGCTAGGAGTTAGAATCACCTCCAGGGACCCCATCAACAAGAACAAAAGCAGCACTGGGTAAGTGTGGGAGCTGCACTCCACACAGGCTTTCACATCCAGGCCTCACTCTAATTCAGAATGGTGCCTGGCGTAAGCTCTGTCGCACGCTCGTGTGGTCTCTCTCTCTCACTTTTTCTTTCTTCCCCTCCTTCTCTCCGTCAGAACTTCCCTCCTTCCCATGATGTGGTAGTGCCCAGTCCTGCCCCCTTTTCTATGGGAGAACTACGACAAAGAAAGGCCAGGGTCCCCCACATTCCAGTCAACTGAGGACTCAACACTGACAGTGATATTCTACCCTGACACCCTCTTAGCCGCACACCCTCCTTGTGAACATGGACAGATGCTGAGCAGTGGCCAGGGAGAAAGCCGTGGGGTGAACTCACATGGCTCGATTGTCTTTCTCCTCATTTAAGATATCCTCAATGGAGACTGCAAGTTTCCTCAGACAGGAGCTCTGTTTCAGGCAGTAGGCGGACACTATCAGGTCCAATCGGTCGGTGACAGACAGGTGGACTTCCTGGAAGCAGTCCAATGCCTCCTTCACAAACCCTTTATCCTCAACCTCGAACAGACAGTAACACAAGGCCGTGAAACAGAGCTCTTTCTTCTGAAGTTCGTGCTCACCTAAACTCTTCAGGCAAAGGCAGACTTGCTCCTTGACCTCTGGAATTAGCTGGAAACCAAACTCATGTAACCTTTCCTCTCCCTTCGTATTCAAAAGACCGAACAAAAAACATCCCAGAAAATCCCAGTGAAGTTTGAATTTCCTTAAGTAGGTCATTAGCAGTGCCTTCACGCATTTAATGGCTGGGTTGGGGTGATCGCTTGGCCTCTTCAGCAAATAAAACATGGCAGCCAAGAGCTCCTGGATGTATTTATGCATGAATGCATAGCAGTTCTCGTAGGCCCAGCACTTCTGAAGGATCTTTGTGTCCAGAAATGTGGGGATGTCCCCTTCAGCTAAGCCATTTCTCTTGAGGTCTTCTTTACTGAATTCAAACGTGTCTGTCCACATGCCCTCCACAGCCAGGGAGCACAGACCCTCCAACTGGAGGTAGTCCTTTCGATGTGGGCGTACGGCATTCAGGGATGTGAATGTGTTCAGGATAAAAGAACTAAACAGAAATGTGCTCCTGTGACAGGTAAGTGTTATGTCTCTGCCTCTCTCTACCTCCTGCTTCAGGCAGGTGCACGCGACCCAGCAGAGGGCAGGGATTTGGCACATGGAATAGAGCCATTTGTTTCCTTTGACTACGTTGTGAGCTTCCAGTGCTTGATTCTTGTTTTGAAAGGTACAGGAGAAGTAGAGTCTCTTCCCATCCTCACTGAGGCCGATGATTGGCTTAATTTCTGGGTTCTCGAGCTGGGGCTCAGCTTTCTGCAGGTACTCAGGTGTGGTGGCAACGAGCACTGAGGACTCAGGGAGCATCTTCTTCCTCATCAAACTGGTCAGGATGACCTGCACTGGCTGCTGCTGCACGCAGTCGCTGCACGTGTCTGACCACAGCTCGTTGGAGGTACCTGTCAGCTTCTCCAAGCTGTCGATGAGAAACAAGAGTTTCCTTGGCTGGGACAGGATCTCTCCTAGGGGTGCGGGGCTACCAGGCCAGCCTCTGGAGATCAACTCAGACAGGCTGGTCACCGCCAAATGCTTCACCTCCTGGCAGCAGAAGTAGAAAACGTATGAGAACTTCTCCTGATAGAGGGTGCCCTCTGCCCAGGTCAACAATAACTTGGTCAAGAATGTCGTCTTTCCGAGTTTTTGGTTTCCTATGAGGATCACAGTATGCGGCAGCTCTGTTCCAGTTGCTTGAGGCGGGAAAAGCTGTTCCATATACTCATGTTCTTTATTCTCAAAGTAATTATGGGTGCTAATGGCAGCTTCTCCTCTGAAGCACCTTTTGAGTAATCTCTCCTTTATGTGAGCTTGGTATCTCTTTTTATGTCCTGAGTCAGTGAGGAAGAGAGAAAACAAAACATAGAACATAATAAAGTTAAACATACAGACTTTTTTTTTTTTAAAAAAATTGTGCTTCTAGTTCAAGTCTACAGAGGAGCTGGTTTGCCACTCAGGAAATCATACACGACTTGTTTTATGTACACATAACATTCTTTGAAGTTGAAATTTTACTCTTCAGAATGTATTGCCTCAGAGAATGGCAAACAGGCCCACAAGCCAAAGCTGAACCAAAGTCTGATTCTTTAAATAAATGCTGTTGGCTCATAGGCACACAATTAGTGTATTGTAAAGGTGGCTTTACCTTTACAGTAGAGCTGAATAGTTGCAACAAAGTCCCTATGTCTGTTGAGTCTAAAGTATAAATTCTCTGGTCCTACACACACACACACATGCCAATCTCTGCTGTAGACACGCACTCTCATACATTAAAACGCTCAGTCTCCGTAAATATACACACAGACATGCACAGCCATCCAACCACAGTGACAGTCGTTGCTGATACAGAATGGAAAAAGAAACTTATTAGCTGCTAAAGACCAGCTAAATAATACATGGAACCATGTTTTATTTGTGGATATTAAAAGCATGGAATTAACTATGTGGAAAAAGAGTAGGGCAGTGTCTATAATGTGGGCCTACTCGTGTAAAGACATGCATGCATGGCATCTGAATGACGATGTAGGAAGGACTTTTGGTGGTTGTTGAGAATATGCACAAGAGAATAGATGCAACTCGACAGTTTTTATGTGCACAGTTGAGGGACTGATTGCACTCTGTGATTTGTGCAGCCACTCTCATCCTCCTTTTCGGAGTTCTTCTTGCACTGTTAACATAAATCCTCCAGCTCCTAAAGTCTCTAACTCATTGCGGACTTGCTGTTACCAATTTGACTAGGTGGTATTCAAAAGAGCAAAGTACTCAGTGTGTTCACTGAGTTAATTGTGTTCACTGAGTTCATACTAGTTCAGTTAAACTGCTGTTTGAATTTAAGACCGCAGAAAATATTTTTGGTTTAAAGTTTAAATACTGTATCAGCACAGTAGTTTCAGGGGTTTATTCAGCCTCAATCACTCTAGAAAAATCTAAGCTCTAGGAGAATGAAAAATTCTGTTCTGCATTTCCCCTCTTTTGATTAGGATTATTCTACAGAACCTTTGATCAAAATATTAAGTAATGGTAGCTGGAAACCAACCATCCAGTTCTTCTGGTATCATGGCAAAGGGTTTGCTGAAAATGAGAAAGACTTGAGGCATTTGCTGCAGAAGAGCAAAGACTACAGCCTTCAATATGAACTACATCACAACACTAAGAAACAAGAATTCTCCCTATTGGACCCAAAGGCAATATCATGATGGAGCGAAAATGGAAGATGTTAACAAATTAATCTTACTTGGAGCCCCCGTCGACACCCTTTGTACCAGAATTCAAGAAAGAAAAAGATACATTCAACGGGAAATTTATTGTCGAGAAGCCTTTCCAATGTGCTGAGGAGCATGGATGCCAGTTTAAAGACTAAGGTGCTCCTGCCATTATTTCCTCTGCATCTGAAAGTTGGATGATGAATAAGGAAGACAGAAGAGGAATCCATGCCTTTGAATTGTGATGTTGGAAATGAGTATGGAATATCCCATGGACTGTCAAAAGAACAAACAAATAGAATTTGGAGAAAGTGCACCCAGAGTGCTTCTTAGAGACAAGGATGATGAAATTTCATCTTATATGCTTTGGGCAAGTGGTTAGGAGGGGGTCAGTGCTTGGAAAAAGAACATCGTGCACAGTAGAGTGGAGGGTTAGCAAAAGAGAAAGTTTCTAGATGGATTGGCAGAGACTGCAGCAATGGACTCAGGTAGATCATGGATGGTGGGGATGGTGCAGGGTAGGAAGGGTTCAGATCTGTGTTCACAGTATGGCTGAGGGCCATCGTCAACTTACGGCTCTGAACGACAAGAACAATTCTTCATTCTTGAGGAATCTGTTTAGAATCCACATTACATCAACATACTTCTAATTCTGTGTATAATCTCCTGAGTATATGTTAACTGTTACCTGTAGACCCTTCTCAAATGTCTGTTCAGACAATGGGTCAGATTGCTGCAGAAGGGCAAGGACTGCAGCTTTCAATATGGATTGAAGCTTAATATCAAGAAGACCAAGATTCTCACATTGGCAGCATCAGGATGAATGGTGAAGAGATTGAGATTATTTGCGTGGCTCCACAGTCAACACTCTTGGCATCAGCAGCCAGGAAATTAAAAAGGCGTATTGCGATGCAAAGTCTACTGTTAGAGTCCTCTCCAAAGTGCTGAAGAGCAATGATGTCATTCTAGAGACTAAGGTGCACCTGATACAGCCCATGGTCTTTGCAATTACTTGCTTTGCATTAGGGAGTGAGACAATGACTAGGGAGAAGAGAAGGAGAATTGATACCTTTGAGCTGTGGTATTGGAGAAGAGTACCGAATATACCATGGATTGCTAAGGAAATGAACAGGTTCATCCCAGAGAGTGTTAAACCAGGATGCTCCTTGGAGGCAAGGATTCTGAGGCTTCTTCTGACATACTTCAGACATGTTGTAAGGAGGGATGAGTCCTTGGAGAAGGATGTCATGCTTGGGAGTGTGGAGGGACAGCGCAGGAGAGAACACTCTATGAGGTGGATTGATTCTGTCACTGGGGTAATGGGGGTAGGTGTGTTGGAGATGGTAAGATTGGCGCAGGACAGAGCAGGTTTTAGGGCTGTTGTACATAGAGTCTCTATGAGTCACAGGCAACATGACGAAACATAACACCAACAACAACAATACTGACATGGACCCACCATCAACACCCTGGAAGTATTAGTCAAGAAATTAAAAGCCATGTTGCATTGGGCAAATCTGTAAAAGATCTCTTTAATGTGCTAAAGAGCAAAAGTGTCAGCTTAAAGACTAAGGTGTGCCTGACCCTGGTATTTTAAGTCGGTTCATATCCATGTGAAAATTAGTCATGGCTTAGGGAAGACTGAAGAGGAATTGGTGCCTCTGAATTATGGTGTTGACAAAAATGATGGCATATGCCATGAACTGCCAAAAGGACAAACAACCGTGTCTTGGAAGAAATGTGTCCAGGGTGTTCTGCATTGGCAAGGATTGTGTGTCTTCAGCCTGATACTTTGGACATGTTATCAAGAGAGACCAGCCCTGAAGAAGAGACAGGATGCTTGGAACATGGGAGAGTCAGGAAAGGAAAGGAAAGCCCCCAATGAGAGAGATTGGCACAGTGACACCACCAGCAAACTTGAGCACAGCAGAGGTTGTGAGGACAGTTGCAGTTGTAGGCGGGGACTCGCTCTCTCATGTGTTGCATTGCCGAGAGTTTGAATCGACTTGATGGTACTTGACACCACCAAATAATGGCACCCACTGAGCTGAGAGGTTCTGACCAGTGTACAAGTCCTCAGCTTAGAGATGACTCATAACCTAGATGGAAGCACTATACAGGTTGGGATAGGCTCCCAAACACTAAAACCACAATCCAGTGCCCTTTGAGTCAATTCTGACGTGTGACCCACACTCAGTATGTATCAGAGTTGACCTACGTCAGAGGGTTTTCAACAACAGTCATCTTTTAGTAGTGGCTTGTCAGGACTTCATTTCTATACACTTCTGACTGGATTGGAACTGCCCATGTTTTGATTAGAAGCTGAATCTTAACTCTTTGTGTCACTCAGGGGACTCCACAGGACTTGCCACCCACCCACCTGTCAATACACATTTAATGACATTGTTTTGGGGGCCATGGAGGTTGATGTGCTGGAATTTGTGAAACTGGCTCAGGACAAGGGCAGGGTTCAGAGCTGCTGTGCATAGGGTCGCTATACATTGCAGGCAACTCGACAAGCACATAACAGTAACAACATATTATATTGGTTGTTCTTTTATTTAAGCCTCTTGTTTAAAGTCAACAAGACCTCATGGAAGGCCTTTGTATTTCAAAGTTGATTGTACTATATTTAGGAGGAACATTCTTCTAAGTGGTACAGCACTCTTCTGTCAAGTTGCTGTACTGAGGTAACCAGGGGTTGCTGTGATGCTGAACCTTATGCTATTGAGGTTATCTAATGGCACAAGCATTACCCATGGTGGACAGGGTTTGGTGGAGCTCCCAGTTTAAGACAGGTTTGGAAGCAGGAGTGGCATCCACTTCCTAAGCCATATGCCTTTGGAAACTCTATGAACTTTGAACAACAATGATAATTATCGGAAGGCTTCAGGTCTTTTGTTCATAGTGTAGCTATGAGTCATGCTCGACTCCACAGCAATCAACAACCACCCTCACCCCCACCCCACGGATAACATTCTCCCATTAGAACGTTCCGGTCATACAATAGATAGAGAGATGATCTCTAACAATTGCGGCGAGTTCTCATTGTAAGACACCTTGTGTCCACCTGCCCAGCCTCACTCACCGGAGCGCTCAGTCTTGGCCTTCTCACAGAGATCTTTCCTACTGATCTTGTCAAAGATTGTTAAGGTCACATCCCATGCTTGCTGTTCCCCATAATGCTTGGTCAGCAGGTTTACAAGCTCCTCCCGTGTTGCTTTTTTCACTTCGGCCCAGGGAATTTGCCGGAGTCCTGGCTGCAAAGAGTCGTGCTTAAGGAAAGCCTTAAATTGCTTAAATTCCTCCTTCTGAAGCTCCTCCAGATACCACATAAGGCCAAAATCAGAAAAGAAAGATGATTCCATCTTGTTCCAGGGCAGTGCTATCAACGCCCAGAGAGAGAGAGTGGTAGGGCAGAGGAGATAGAAGGAACCTGTGGAAAGTTAATTCAGGAATTAAAATGGTGACAAGAAGCAAGTTGTTTACAGAGCGCGGTGGCCTCACAGCCAAGCACTCGGCTTCTCACCCGAGTTGGTGGTTCAAAGCACCCACCCCAACTCCCTGCTGGATCTAGGAAACAGAAAGGACTTGGTGATCTCGCCCCATAAAGACACCCATTTCCACCAAGTCCCTTTAGACTTTAAAGTCCCTTTAAAGATTCGCCAAGTCCATTTCCAGAGGCAAACTGTTATGGAGGTGGATGCCACTCCTCCTTCCACGCTTGTTTTGATCGGGGAGCTCCACCCCACTCTGTACACACTGGGTAGCCAATTGATTTAAACCCTAGGCCAAGCCTGGCTTGCCTGGCTCCTGGAGGCAGAGTAGTCCTTCACGTCCCAAAACTACCACAACACCCACGCACACAGCACCATGCTCTCTCTGGCAACCGGGTCACGGCAACCCTGGGTGGAGCAAACCATGAAAAATGTAGAGGCAGTAAATTGCACGTGAGTTGACGACCCATGTTTCTTTCAATTTACACAGTGATATATATGTATATTTCAGGCCCTTTGTTCATACGGTCACTGAGTCATGCTCGACTTGAAGGCAATCAGCAACAACATATATGTATATGGTGGCTTACTGGTAAAGAATTGCGCTGCCAGCCCAAAGGCTTGGGGTCCTATCAGATGTTCCATGGGGAGAAATATGGGAACTATCTTCTCATGCAATTTACGGCCCCCGATAGCCCCCACAGGAGGGTCAGCTGGAGTCGGACTTGAAAGCAGCTGGTAGAGTCTAACTGTGCAGCTTCTTCCCACAAGGCCACCAGACTTTCAAACATATACACGCACACAAACAGAATTTATAATTTTCATATAATACATGTAAAATCTTATGGATTATTATTTGTATTATTATCTAGCTGGTTGGCTTCAAGGAGCTGCAAACCCAAAGGCAGGTAGTTCTTGGAGAAGAAGGTTGGCAGTTGCCCCTGGGCCTGACCACTCCTTGAGAAACCTGCTGATATGTAAGGTGGCCAGATCAAAACCCAGACCAGACAGTGGATCTTGATGAGGCTCTGGGCTTGATCACAGAAGCCCAAACACAAGGTCATTAACAGTCCCAAATTCTGGGTAAAATATCACCTTCCCTAGACCTCCCTAAAATCCCTAAGTAAAATACCATCTTCCTTAGGCCTCCCTAAAACCCCTATAAAAAGAGGCTGCCCTTGACTGTCCATGTGCCAAACTCCTCTGTAAAGCTAAGTTATATCTAAACCCCCTCTATTTTTATTTTTAAAGAGCACTTGTTATAAAAAATAAATGCCAAAGTTATTTTTCACCCCTATATTCCAAACAGTATTTAAAAAAATTCATTCTTTCACAATTACCTATTTCCCTGCTCACCCCAGTCCTCTTATTCTAAGCTGTTATCTTATGTATAGTACCTAATCAGACATTCCTTTAAAACAGTTCATCTGTTCCCAATAGTCGTTCTCTATCCACTCACATCCTATTCTCCTCCCAACCCAAGTCAGATCTGCTTTATAATAGCAGTACTGGGCAGTATTTGTCCTTTTGTGACTGAGATATTTCACCCTGCATCATGTCCTCCAGAGTCCCCCATGTTGTTTAATGTTTTACAAGTGCTGCGTAGTATTCCACTGTATAAATATACCATTTCTTTATAGCACACACATCTTACCAGCCCAGAAGCCAAATAAATTAAAATGAATCCAAAATTTAAGACATTTCAATAAAAGTACTACCCAATCCCTGAACTCTAATAACCCAAATACACCCAAAGTCTAACTATATCTCAGTATTAACCTTAATATATTCTTTACTATTTTTTCACTCTGACTCTCATCCATTACTTACCTTTAAAGAAACTAACCTAGAAATACTGAGAATCAGTTAATATAATTAAAAATATTTTAGCTAAGTTGTTCTAATAAACTCAGTCTAATAAAATTACGCTATTGTTAATTACCCTGTTATATATTAGAGCAGTTCCTCAATGAATAACCAAATTATCAGCATATGATAACTAACTTCTGTATGAGTTTGAAGAACAGGTATCTTTTTTTTTTTTTTTTGGTGAGAAAAATTTCTATTTAGAATTAGCGCGCTGGACTCAGTTTAGATGATCCCAATTTTGTTGGCAACATCCAAAGCATCATAAT